CTGAGTTTAGATTAATTTTTGGTGCAGTTGAGAAAAAAAAGTAGAAACTTGATCATGGGAGACAGTGTAATGTCATGAAAGAGTGTCAAACTCGGGTTCTAGTTTTATCTCTTCAGGCAAGTCACTTAACCCCCGTCTGTCTCCGGTTTCCTTGTTAATAAAAGGTGGAGAGCTATGTCTTTGCTGCTTAGCTTAAAAAATGTGATGAACAAGTGAAATACGAAATCTGCATTCTAGTTGTAAAACATTATAAAAGTGTAAGAAACTTATTTGTTAAAATTTTATTTTTTTAGGTCACATACAGGTGAAAAACCTTTTAAATGTTCTCAGTGTGGAAGAGGCTTTGTTTCTGCAGGAGTGCTCAAGGCCCACGTCCGAACGCACACAGGACTAAAATCTTACAAGTGTCTGATATGTAACGGAGCGTTCACCACCGGTGGTAGCTTAAGGCGGCACATGGGTATACATAATGACCTTCGCCCCTACATGTGTCCCTATTGCCAGAAAACATTTAAGACCTCACTAAACTGCAAAAAGCACATGAAAACCCATAGGTAGGTATAAATCTGATGGTCACTTTTTATAATCTTTGTAATTCCTAGATCATGATGAGGAACGTTTTTAGGAAAAATTGTCTTTACTTCTTACATTATTATTTCTGCCTTGTAGTATATGGGCTAAAGAAACTTAAGTATCAGTGCCTAAGGATCTGATGACAGCCATAGACTAAAGCATTAACATTTTTGTTTTAAATTTAATATTGAAGGAGTTTATATTGGGCTAAATGCTTTGTAAGCTCTCTTTTAAAGCTGATAGTTGATAATTAGATGAAATGCTAGACTACATCTAGTGAAGATTTCAAAAAAGAAAATCTTAGTTGACGCTTTGATTTCTAGGTATATTATCAGCACCTCTGCATGGTGATTATTCCATGTTGTTTACTGGAAAAGAACGTATATTTTAGATATTCTGTCAGTCCATCATTCAATCTCACTTACGTTTTTACTTGATTGGAAGGGTAGCTCATCTCCAAATGGAGGGACTCCAAGAGAATCATTTCTGACTAGAGCTGGGGCTTATTAAGCAAGTATTCCTGTGAAGCCACAGCACATCCTAGGAGATTGGAAAGTAAGGGTCAGTAGGCCTATCCTATCATGAAAGAGTATTAAACCTGCAGCCCAGAACATTTGCTTCTGGACAGTGTTTTAACTCAGATTTGTCTGCCCAGATGTTCCCTACAAAAGAAAACACCAAGTATCAGAATAAGTTAATTGCAATAGGTGGTTTTTTTTTGTGGGGGGGGCATTATCAGTCTGGTGCCTAAGCACACTTGACAGAAGAGACATCTTTGATTTTGCCACTGTTGACGGACTCAGCCCAGAAGCTCACCTGCTGTGTGAGGCCATCTGGAAAATACGATATTGGAGGTGTTACGTGGTGGCTCCTGCCATTCACGCATCCGGCTGCACTGCACTTCATGGAGGAAACGCTGTGCCGTACAGGTGTCTGGGAACTGCGGGGTCCGTGGTGCGTGGCTGCTCGGATGCTGTATTTCTGCTCACTGTAGCGGGATGATGGGCCCCCGGTTGGCCCAAGAGCTTACCTTGCTAAGATGATGGAGCCTCGGGACTGGCTTGCTCAGGGGCCTGTTAAATCTGTTTCTCCCTGCCAGGAAGCCAGGCCTTCACAATGTGCTTTTCGTGGCCGTGTTGGGAGTATGGGTGTTGCGCCTTTGTTTATGGCCCCAATGGCCAGTGGTATCATGGCTGGGTCACCTTTATTAAGTGAAGTATTGTTGGGCATTATTTGTCATAGGTGACACTGAGGTACACATGTAGGGGATTAATGTCAGACTTTGAGGTGACAATCAAAAGACCGATCTGCCTGTCGCATTGCAGAGCTGGGTGCTTTTCCTTATAGACTGTGTGCACTTTGAATCTGCCTGCAAGGAGAGCGTAGACCCCGCGTTCATCCCTTTGTTTGAAGTGTTGGGAATTCCCCAAATACCACGCACACTTACATCAAAGAGAGGTATAAAAGGTTACTGTAGTAAAATTTCATGGAAAAAGCAAACAAACAAACAGAAAACAGGCCTCCACCAGTTACCACGTGAGACGCGTCTTGGGGCAAGGGTGGCAGTACGAGGCGGGTGGCAGTACGAGGCGGCTGCCAGACGTCGCCCACCCTCTCTGTGCCCCACATTCGGTTGTGATAGTCAGGCCAGTCTTTGGAGCTACTGCCTCATTTAGCGCAATTCTGTTTCTGAATACTTGAATTCATCACAGAATTCGAATTGGGAGAGTTTCACTTTTAAACATGTGGCATCTTTTTAATTTTTTAGAACTTTCAAAAATTCCGGTTTGTGTTGTCCTCCACCCTCAAGGTGCCTTCGTGTGCAGTAGCCTGTGAAAGCACGTGAGCTAAGGCAACAGGAGTTTTCTCTCATTATTTACAGTGTTTCATTTTTACCTGGATTGCCATCGTGACTTCCAAATGAAATAATTTAAGAATAAAAAGTGTTGTTTAGTAAATTACAACTTTCACTGTAGTATCCCATGTGAGTAACTGCTGATAGCATCTAATCTTATGAATTATTGTTGATTTTCCTGAAGATACGAGCTTGCCCAGCAGCTCCAGCAGCATCAGGATGCGGCCTCGATAGATAACAGCACCGTGGACCAGCAGAGCATGCAGGTCTCCTCCCAGATGCAGGTGGAGATCGAGAGCGGGGAGCTGCCCCAGCCGGCGGAGGTGGTCGCAGCAAACCCCGAGGCCATGCTGGACCTGGAGCCACAGCACGTGGTGGGCACGGAAGAGGCAGGACTTGGTCAACAGCTGACAGACCAGCCTCTGGACCCAGATGAAGGTGAATGTTTTAGGATGTTGAACTTCTAGAATGAACCCACAGAGTTTTGCAGCCCTTCACCTCACGGCAGTCCGTGTTGCTCTCTCTGTCCTGACTTTTCAAGCCACAGCATGTGACTGTGTAGTATGTGCTCCTATATTGTGCTGTGTAGTATGTGTGTGTGAGATATTGAATATTTTATGTTATCCCATGTACTCTTTTGCATAATTAAAAATTGTTTTAATTGACAAATAATAATTGTACATATTCATGGGGCACATAGTGATGTTTCGATACATATGATGTTTAGTGATCAGATGAGGGTAATTAGCATATCCATCATCTCAAACATTTATCATTTCTTTGTGCTAAGAACATGCAATATCCTTCTAGCTATTTGGAACTATGTAATATGTTATTGTTAACTACAGTCATCCTACAGTGCTATAGAACAGTAGTGCTGGTTCCTCCTATCTATCTGGCTATAATTTTGTATCTTTTAACAAATCTCTCCCTATCCCCCCTTGCCTCTGCTCTTCCCAGACTCTGTATCCTCTGTTCTACCTTGCACTGCTGTGAGATCAATTTCGTTTTTAGCTTCCATGTATGAGTGAGAACATGGGGTGTTTTACTTTCTGTTACTGGCTTATTTCACATAACATGATGTCCTTCAGTTCCATCCGTGTTGCCGAGATGATTTGACATGATTTCATTCCTTTCTATGAGCTGCAGTAAACATGGGGGTGCAGATATCTCTTTGGTACACTGATTTCCTTTCCTTTGAATAAATGCCCCACAGTGGGGTTGCTGGATCATGTGGTAGTGCTATTTGTAGTTCTTTGAAGAACCTCCGTACTCCTTTCCTTAGTGGCTGTACTAGTTTGCATTCCCGCCAAATGGGTGTAAGAGTTCCCTTTTCTCCGCATCCTTGCCAGCATTTGTTGTTTTTTGTTTTTTTGATAATAGCTATCCTGGGGTGAGATGATACCTCACTGTGGTTTTAACTTACACGTCCCTGATGATTAGTGATGTGGAACATTATTTTCATATATTTCTTGGCCATTTATATGTCTTCTTTTGAGAAATGTCTGTTCAGATCATTTTCCTGTGTATTTCTTGCCCATATTTTAAAAGGATTGCTTGTTTTTCTGCTATTGAGATATTTGAGTTTCTTGTATAGTCTGGATATTAATCTCTTGATGGATGAGTAGTTTGCAGATATTTTCTCCCACTCTGTAAGTTGTGTTTTCACTCTGTTGATTGTTTCCTTTGCTGTGCAGAAGCCTTTAAGTTTGATATAATACCATTTGTTTATTTTTGCTTTTGTTACCTGTGCTTTTGAGGTCTTACTCATAAAATCTTTGCCAAGACCAATGTCCTAAAGTGTTTTCCCTATGTTTTCTTCAAGTTTTATTGTTTAGTTTTATTGTTTTGGGTCTTAGCTTTGAGTCTTTAATACATTTACATTAAAATCTACTAAATCCATTTTGATTTACATCTGCAGAATCTACCGTCCATATTTTGGTGTAGATGCTTCCAATTTTTTTTCATATAAACGTGCAGGCGTGTGTGTGCGCGCATGAATGTTTCATATGCATGTACAATTATAGAAATAGGATCTTTCTGTGCAGACTTTTTTATAACCTACTAGTATTTATTCCTTGATACATTGTGAACATCTCTCCTTTCGTGGGTACATCTGTATGGTCAATAGTATTCTGTCACTCTCTGAGTGTAGATTCACAGACTAATGCAGGCCAGCGGACCGTTTATTACGGGTCCGTGGTGGGACTGGGCTCCTGGTCCAGAATACAAAGCGCAGGTTGCTTCCTGCATCAGTAAAGTCTGGCGACGGGACGAACGTCGGCCTGAGCGTAGGCGGTGTGCGCAGTGACGCGCCGTGTGCGCCTGGCACAGGCTTCTTGGACGGGCCTGTCAGCACAGTTTGTTGACTAGTTTACTGTTTCGTTTTATGGACGTCCCCCCAGTTTTTTAGTCTACGGGCAGGATCGTATACTTTTTATGTCCTATGAAACTTGGAACAATGCACACCAGAAAGATTCTAAATGATTATTGAATATAATTGCACTGTAGAATATTACTTTGTGAGACAGTGTTTAAGCTTGAGGACAAACTGTAAAGACTTCAAGTTATGATATTTTGAAAACACAAAGATAATGCTTTAGCCATATTATAATTATAATATAATTTAACACCATTATAATTTTATTATAGTTCAGCACAATTATAATTTTATTATCATTTAATCATGTGATAATTAAATTATATTACAATTATAATAAATAATGTAATAATTTTATATATATCTGTATATCTCCTTCCTGTTGTCTTTCCAAAACAAGGAGGCTGGTTTTTGAAAAGTGACCAGCGTGTCCTTTTGGGCAGTTGGTAGACGTGACGTGACTTCCAAATGTGTGAGTCCCTGTTGTGCACTCTTGTCTCTAGATGGGTTTGTGGCTGCGCAGGACCCGCTACGGGGGCACGTAGATCAGTTTGAAGAGCAGACTCCCCAGCAGCCCTTCGAACCAGCAGGGCTATCCCAAGGTCAGTGGTGGGTTTTCAATGAAATCTGCGAGGGCGCTGTGCCTGGGTTGGGTTTAGTTTTACAACAACCTTAGGTGTTTTCTCTTAAGGCCCTTCTAAAATGTATGGTTTCAAACCGGATAACTTTTGGCACGTATTGTAGAATTTTTAAAATTGATACGTACCATTTTGTGGTCTGCTCAGGTCTTCCGTGACCATTCTACACATAGTCAAGAAAAGGTGCTTGAGTAGAAGTTGGGACTTGGTGGTGACCGGATGCGTGTGGCTGGTCCGTTAGCCTGCACGGTGGCGACGCGTGCTGAGCACAGCCTCCTGCCTGTGGGCAAACCATTTCAGAGCCTGCCGATAAAAACTAAGCCTGATTCTAACTCAGAAAGCAGAAATGTCCCCTTTAGACATTTTTTTATTTATAAACCCAACCTTTTTTTTTTTTTATCTTTTTTGTGTAACTCTAATATTCTTTGTAGAACTCCTTTTTCTAATTTATTTCAGATTTTACAGTGACCGATACGTACAATCAGCAGACTCAGTTTCCACCTGTCCAACAGCTGCAAGATTCCAGCACACTTGAGTCTCAGGCCCTCTCCACGAGTTTCCACCAGCCGAACTTACTGCCGGTCCCTACCTCTGATACGATCAACGTGGTGAGTGTTGACAGAGGGATGCACACTCCTCACTATTTAGCAGATGCTATTTTATTTTTGTCTGTGGAATCTTAAATATGTTAACAGGAAAATATAATGAATGTCGACATATTAAAAATAAATATTCAAATGCATCTTTAAAAAGTTTCTCTCTTACTCAAGTTGGAGACATTGAAGTGTTTTTTGTTTTTTCTGCTTTTGGAAAATTTTTTATAGCGATGAAAGTGATTGACCAATCAATTGTTATCTCTCTTTAAAATCCACTGTTGTTAGCTTTGCCCAGTGGTAGGCCTGGACCCTGCAGTGAAAACTTCGAGCATTTTTCTATAGCTAGAATCAGTGTAATTGACAGCAGATGCTGAGTCTGGATGGTTCCGTAGGCAGCTTTCCCTGTACTCCAGGGCTCTCTGAGTAAAACCCCGCACACTCCTTCAGCCATTGTAGCAGAATAGGGGTTATCTGATTTGGTGTTGGAAGTCAGGCGAACAAATGAGAAATAGGCCCTTGATTACAGAAACATGTGGATGCTGCCCAGGGGCAGGTACTCCACTGCTGACGTCGTCCTGCGACTGTCCGTGGCTTCTCAACGTCAGCTCACCCTGCGCCCGGTGTGAGCACGGGAGCACGCTGGAGTGGGCCTCGCCGTGCCAGCCGGGTCACAGTGCCTGTGTGAGGAAGGGCTGGGTTAGCGTGGCTGCTCAGTGCATGCAGGGTGCTCTTCCTCGGGGTGGAGAACATACTCCCTTTCTCCCCATGTTTTTTGTGACAAGAGGAGACTTAATATTTTCTGAAAGTAGGATTTTTATTCATTATCATAAGACAAGAGCAGGTGAAAGAGTAATCTCTTATTACAATGTATAAGAATATATATCTAAGAATCAGTTTCATGGTTGATTAAACTTTGTATTATAGTAAGTTAATAGAAGATAAATAGTTATTAATCAAATCTGTGTAAATGAGTTTTACCATTGCTCCAGCTCGAATGATTGCAATGGACTTCTTGGTGTTTCTCCCTTTTAAATCTGCATTCTATGGATGTTCTTATCCTTGGTTCTTAGTTGTTGATTTTGTTATATTTATTCATAGATACTCAAGCAGCCTGCTTTATACTTCTCTTAAATTTTAGACAACTCGTTTGATTCAAGAGTCATCCCGAGAGGAACTGGACCTGCAGACGCAGCGTCCCCAGACCCTGGAGGACGGCGAGGATCAAAGCAGGCGCTCGTACAGGTGGTTGTCCCCACAGCCCAGCTCAGCGCGTCACCGCTCCCCGCAGCACAGCGCTGGCTGTGCGCCTGCACTGTTCCGGGGCTTTGCGATTTCGTTCTCTCACAACTCTGTGAAATCATGTCCATTCCCATCCACATTTTATAAATAAAGGATCTGAGACAAAAAGGTTAATTAACCTGCTAAAATTTCTACTGCCGATAAGTGACAGGGCCAGGATTTGGGTGTGGCGATCTTCTCCAACCCACGCATCTACGTTACTCCGCTCTGGCGTCCTGTCACTGCTTGAAGTCACTTACTACCACGTTTTCAGAAATAACTTAAATTTATATTGTGCCTTTTTGTCTAAGACTCCTTATATGCTTTACAACCCGTGTGCCAGGGGTTACAAAGACAGCCACTTAGATGCATTCATCCACTCACTCAGCAACATGCATTCAAATTATTATTATTAGTTTACTTTTAATTTTAGAGACAGGGTCTTGCTGTGCCACCCAGGCTGGAGTGCAGTGGCACAGTCACAGCTCAGTGTAACCTTGAACTGCTGGGCTCAAGTGATCTTCCCACTTTACCCTCCCAAGTAGCTGGGACTAAAGGCACAAGCCACCACAACTGAGTAATTTTTAAATTGTTTATAGAGTCAGGATCTTACTATATTGCCCAGGCTGGTCTCAAACTCCTAGCTTCAAGTGATCCTCTCGTCTTGGCCTCCCAAAGTGTTGGGATTACAGGTGTGAACCACTGCACCTCTTTTTTATGACATTAAAAATAAGTATATATGTATACAGAGAGTTTGAGACAGAGATAACTGTTTCAGAAGGAGAGGGTAGCAAGAAGAAAACAATATTTGCAAGAAAAAATTTACATGTGTGTGTGCTCATATGCATATATCACATATGTACATACACTTGCCATTCTACTCTCTGTCTTCTTCTGTAAGTCCAGTTCCATCCAAGTTGCTGAAAAAGACATTATTTCATTCTTTTTTATGTCTGAGTAGTATTCCATGGGATTGTTGATAGATAATTAGGCAGTTTCTAGTTTTCTCTTATTATAAATAAGGTTGCTATGAACATGGTTTTACCTGC